GTGGAGGGGATGGGGGGAAGGATCAATCAGTACACATAATAGCGAACAGATCATGAATCGCGAGATGGAAAAAAAAATCTAATAAAAATGATCACTCACTATGCGAGAGCCAATCCTTCCAGTAAACGGCGTAAGTCGGGTCAGTGGTGCGGAGAAGGCCGGCACTTCTGGTCCCGAGCCAGCCGGGGAATCCTCCGCTCGTGGTCTCTGCATTCACAGGCGAAAATAAAACAAAACGAAACATCAATAAGCGATGTTCCCAGCGACGCTCTGAATGCAATGAGCGGGGATCACTAACCGGCATTGATGTAGGGACCGGGACGGACGAGGACGTAAATGCCGACTTGCTTTGCAGTCTTGAAGAAGAGGTCGATGTCGCGGACTCCGGTGAAGTCGAACACTCCTGGCGCTGGGGAGTGGTATCCCCAGTGAACATAGATCTGTGCGCGGGGGGGGGGGGGGGGGGGGGGGGGGGAGAAAATTTAGCCAGATCCGAAAAGCCCACTCGTGGAAAGGAATCAAACGCAAATCCTCACCTGCACCGCATTGTACCCCGCAGCCTTCATCTTCTCAAGCACATCCTGCCACATAGACGGCGACGGCAGCCTCCAAGGATGGAACTCGCCGCTCCAAACGGTGAGGCGCTCGCCAGCGATCATGAGGGAGTAGCGATCATAGGTGACGATAGACGTGGCGGGCGGGATGGGGGAGGCGAGAACATGGAAGGGGAGAGTCGCGAGCAGCAGCGCCGCGATTGAGGCGGTGGGACGCATAGTTGCGGGTTTAGGCGATCGTTGGGCAAGTGCTGGAGGGGGGAACGGGGGTGTTAAATAAGATCTGGATTAGGCGGAGTCGGTCATCCGTGCATACGCAAGCCCCGGTGGTTTTATTCAACAAAAAAAAAGACCCAAGACGGGATTATGCGTATTGCGCATCCACGTGAGGCACGACGGGAGGAAAATATTTTGAAGGGGGGGGACGCCAAGCTTGGACCGGAGGCAATAATGAGGCGGCGCGGGTGCAACAACAGAAGGACTCGAAGCTGAACTGGCAGAAGGACATGGCCGTTGTTCACAGTGTCCAGTTCCAAAGCATCGAATCGATCCAAAAAGTAAAATCCACAAAATCTCGAAGTCTGCGTAAAATCCACAAAGTCTCACGGGACCGCCCAACGCTCTTGAGGCACGAAGGTGGAAGTACTTTGGTGTGAATGGAACTCCGAACCACGCCGGGGGAGGAGCTACTTCTTGTTTGGATTGAGAAGGAGGAAGTGACATACTACAACATCGCAGTCAACATGGGCTGGGCTTGATTGTGGTCGACGGACGCGATCTCCGACGCCAACGTTTGATCCTGTTCGAGGACCTAATTCTTGGCCTGACATGATGCAGAGGGCGGAAGCGGAGGTCGGGACGTCTTGAAGGACGCGGGCTTCGGGGCTGTCGGAGCGATTCAAAGCTGTGGTTGTTTTCCACCAGCAGTTTCCTGCTACTCTGTGTGCTGCTATGCTGTGATGACGCTGCCGACTGTGGGCCTCCTCGGCTCGAAAGGAAAAGGGAGCCCCCACAAACTCCGGATCCCAAAGCGTTTGGCGTCACGCGACTGGCCGACCTCACGAGATCAAACGCGTTCGTCAATTAATTCATTAATTGATTATTTGTTGTCGTAAATGAAATTGTTGTCAAATGAAATTAAATGCGTCCAAATCGACTCCAAACTCCAAAGGTCAACGTGTCGAAGGCTGGCGGTCCGGCGGAGACTGAAGGAGCCTTTATGGATTGTTCGATTCCTCCGAGGCTGGTGAGAAAGATCCCTCGAAAGGTTCAGACTGCCTGCTGCGTGGGAGCTGGGGCTTGACTTGATGGACTGGTGGAGGTTCGTCTTCGGCCTGGCTTCTGCATTCCTGAGACGGAAGGTCTTGGTGCAATGGCTGGCGACAAGGTCTTGATGGAAGGAGATGGGGGAAGGGAGGGGAGGCCCGACACTGGAAATCAATACTGCCGAGACAGTTAATGGCAAGGTCGATGATTCGGGGTACAAGAGCAGGACCTTCATCAAACATCCGCAGGGCTCGCCCCCACTACGAGGTGAATCGAAGGCCAAGGACACCACAAGCGGAACGAGGGCCGCGAGTAATCGACGTGCACACCTACGAACCTCGCCGCCTCCTTGTTCGCAGTTGTCGCCACCCTGCTGGATGGCTGACTGCGGATCGGAAAGGAATCAAAATAAAACGTGGACCCACATCTCGCTCCTCCAGTTGCCTGTTGCTTCTGCCAAACACACTCATGCGGTTCAACCTTCAATGCTGGCCCCAGTCTAAAGTACGGTTTCAGGCTTCGAGCTTTTTTATCGGGAGTACCCCCCTCCCCGCTTCCAGCCACGAGTTTGTCTGGGGGGGGGGAGGGGGAGGGGGCCTTTTCCATCACCAAAATGCCCCGGAGGCGGCTGTTGCGCTTCCGGTCGCAATCGCCATGTGTCCTCGACATCTGACAGCTTCAAAGCAACGCGAGTCATGGCGGACATGACGCCTTCCTTGTGTCTTCTTCCCGACACGACATGCGAGGAAGCGATATGATTTCCTCATGAAGGCAGGAGCGAGGGGTGGTAAAAGAGTAACGCCGAATACACCACCACACCCGATGAAATGTGGGGGAATCGGCCTCGGGGACAGCTTCAAAACTAACTTGCGATTGCTGACTTGGCGCCTGTGCTCTTGCCATATGGGGAAGAAGCGGAGCATAATAGCAACTGTATCGAAAATGACGCTGTCTCCAGAAACCAAAATGCTTGGTCCGGGAATCGAACGCGGGACTGCCACAGACCACGGAATGATAGTTTAGCCACTAAACCAACCACACTGGAAAAAGGTGCTCTTGTTCCACATTCCCAACCTTCTCAGTCGCGTATCGGTCAGAAACGCATTGGCGGAGCGGAGCTGGCGGGGAGTCGCCCA